TCACTAGCACAGCTGCTTTGCCTTTGGAAGAAAGTTTCTTGGTTCATTAGCTAGGTAAAGTTAGAAAAACTAGAGCTCGCTCTATATTTACTTCAGAAAAGTAGCCTAACTGGTAGCAAATGCCAACTGCCCGCTGACAGAGTTGTCACCCGCTCCCTCTCAAGAAAATTGTTTACAACCAAGTTTATGAATTTTTAAAATTACAAATTCTTGAAAAAAAAGCTGCAAGATTCATTCCGTATTTTCAGGAAAAAGTCAAAGTCGCCTGCTTGTTTGCCCTTAACCATCCTCTTGACTGTAATGATTTGGACAATTATTTTAAAAAAATAAAAAATAAAAAAATAACAAAAGAAATAATAAAACATAGTAACCATATGTGGCAACCGAAAATTTGCTACACAAAGTTGTTGGATATTTCGTGATTGGAATTCCACTGGGAGTTGCGTTATTTGCTCCTATTTCTTGTCATGAAACCGCGAAGAACACATTAGTCCCTTTCTTTCCAAAACTTCTCTATGCATTGATTCTCGAGAAGCAACTTGACTTCGTTCCACTTCACTCTCAAAATGATTGATAAGGCTGAGCAAAATGCATTGGTCTTATATGACCAAGATCACCCGGGCAATCACTATGGGTATCCCACTTTAATGATTTTACTGGATGCTTCCTCACGCCGAACACAGCTGCACTGAAATCCCAGCAACCATATAATGGTGCTGTCCATGCACCAGGAGCTACATTTGTGTGATGTTATCTGCACGGTAGAACTACAACATGGTAGGGAATACACTAAATTCTGCATTGATACTTGTATGTATGCAATATATCTATCAAGCAGAATATCTGAAAATATCTGCTACACAAAGCACTTGTTGCTGGAGTTTTTATTTATGCTAGGTCCTTGATCCGGACTGTATATCTTCAGTTAGTACTTATCACTTGCCCGACGTATGTGCAATGTATATCAGAGAGGAAAAATACAACAGTCTGTTGGCCTTTTCCGAAAAGGATCCTGAGATAATGCAAATAAAAGATGACGTCAATCGGCTAAAAAAAGCGATTCTCGGGTAAATGACATCCTTTTTTTCCAAAATTGCCTTCTTTCATTAAACATATCGCTTTCTTCCTTATTTTGATTAAAATCACAAAAATGACGCTCAAGTACCTAAAAGCGATAATGCTTCTCAAGACGAGTAACACTGAAAACAAAGGAAACCTTGCCTAGTGATTCTTTTAGCAGAAACCTTGGGTTAGTGTCTCTTTCGGGAGAGAAAACAAACGTCAGAATCGCCAATACTGACCAACAAACAATGCAGCATTAGTCAAAGTAGCTGGAAAAGTTGTCAGCAGCATTGGTACTACAGCTGATTAATTCAATCAGTGCCTTAAAAAACAGTTAATTCTCGGTTCTAGTATTTGTATTTTATTTGCGTTTATCAATAAAAAATTGCAGGTGCTGCCAGCCCCAATGGCCGGTTGGAAGAAATACGCACGAATAATTTTGCCTCACGTTGGCCTCATTATCCTGTCATTGCTGTACATAATCGGCGGTGCTTTTGCATTTTATCACTTGGAACGGCCGAATGAAATCGCAGTGAGGCGCGAGAGCCTGAAGGAAGTCTATGCCCAGCGAAAATTAATGCTCGAAGAACTGTGGGCTGTTTTGAATGACGATTCGGTCTCAGATGGTATGTTCGGGAAAAAAGAATAGTGAGCGACGACTCACACCAGTTGACGTTACACATCTCATTGATGATAAACCGTGCATGCACTGCTTAGAGTAATATACAGCTATGTCACCGCAAAAGTGTGGTAATTAGAATTGAAAAAAAAAATATGTGAAATAAGCATCCCCCACTTTGCATCCCATTGTCAAACAAGCAAAAAAACGGACGCCAAGCCTTCTAGGAAAC